CTCGTTAAAGTAACACGGTACATAAATACAGAAGTCAGTTCGCTGAATTTTTCCGACGCGTTACTGAAAATTCTGAAAACTGGGACACTGATGCCACTGTGAAAGCACGAGGATTTTTGAGCTTCTAAGAAAATTTTCAGACAATTTTGCTCCTTGTGATTTCTTCAAAACTGTTTGGATATACTGATGTTTATACAGTACAATGTACTACAAAGCAAATTCTATGAGGTATTATACTGCTGTAAAAAAATAAAGAGATGTTTCACAACAGCTTAAATATGATAAAGAACACAGTTTTGAAGAGTTATGGGTTTCTACTGTCGCTGACAAAAATGATATTTATGATCAAAGGTCTAAAAGGCTAAGAAGTCAGTTAGATGATGAGGAAAAAAAATTCTTACCTTCTATTATATTCCAAAATAGTTGATAACATATGTATGCAGATTGAGAGTAGATATTCTTCACTCTCTAAACTAGAATTTTTTCACCTTTGACATGAAAAATATGAACAGTATAAAGCCAAATATCCAGACAGCTTAATAAACAAACAGAAAGATTTTTATGGATCACTCTTTGATTATATTCGCTTGAAAAGTGAACCCATCGTGCTCTATTCATGTTCTGAATTCTCAAACAAACATGTGCATGAATTAGTAGAGTTCATGACAGAAAATAATCTCAGGTGTGGTTTTAAAGAAGTTTTTAAACTGGGCGAACTGATCCTAACAATACCAAGCAATACTGCTGCAGCGGAATGCTCCTTTTCTGCACTGAAACAAATAAATACTAGCTACCGAGGCACGCAAGGTCAGGCGAGGTTATGTGGCCTCGGTTTACTTTCATTTGAAAAGAATTTACTCACGGGATTAAGACAAAGAGGCTCCTTTTATGATGACACTATAGTGCAGTTTACATCGCAAAAGAGAAGAATAGAACTAATGTATAAATAAAATGGGTAAGTAAAATATACTGTATATATTTTTTAAATTGCACTGCTAATACTGTATATGTACACTTCTCCAATAATTTTCTTCTATTTTGCATTTCTCTGTGCTGTTTATATGCGTAGTCTACTACCTTTTATAAGTATGTCATTTATTTTATACAACTTAAAGTTTAGTCTTTACCTTATTATAATGTTCAGCACACCCTGTTTCAATACCCACCATATGCCACTGACTGGTACCAATATAACTTACATCAGCATAAATCTAGTCCAGGCTTACTGGACCTGGCAAGATGGCGATCAATTTGAGCTTAAAGATCCCATAGTTTGCACCAGACATAAAATTTTTAATAATTAACTTAGTACATTTGAGTACAGGTTGTGATAGTTTATGCGTAAAATGTCACTGACTTGACTTAGCAGAATGTAACTTGCATTGCTAGAATTCTTGCAAGATGGCGATTAATTTGAGTATAAGGACCCCATAGTTTACTCTAGACATAAAATTTTTAGTAATTAACTTAGTATACTGTACTGTATAGTATGCCCTGACAATTTGTGGATTTTTAATTCACCGTCTTTGATTATTCATGGATGACACCCTGGATGTACCCAAGAATGTCTGTGGGTAGTTTAAAAGTTGTCGGCATTTTGGCGGCCGGGACAGGGAGCCATTCATCCTAGAGACAGAAATTTCTTTTATCTGTACAGTATTCTATTGTGTGTGTGTGTGTGTGTGCGTGTGTGTGTGTGTGTGTGCGTGCGTGCGTGCGTGCGTGCGTGCGTGCGCACTTCATCCTTGACCACCGACGGGTCAGACCCACCTGGCGCTGCTCAGCAGCAGCCACGCCAACTGTTATGTTGTCCCATACCAACTCCCTCCCCTGAACCCTCCTCCCCACCGGAATATCAACAAGTTCTCGCCAGAAGTTACTATTTCATTTGGGAAAGGAATGAAACCAGTGTTGAATAGTGGTGAACAGTGCTTAAGTCAGTGAAAAACAACTCGGCAGTTACAGTTGCGTCTTACCCAAGCTAACCTTCACACAGTGAGGTCCCAGGTACCCAGTGATAATTCCCCTGAGAGACTCCACGATAGAGAGGCCTGGGACCACACCTTACCCACTTGAGGGAGTGAAGTCCTGTGACAACAGACCACGTGGTGTCCCCATGATGCTACGACACCACGCAGAGAATGAGTTGCTACAGCATTATGTGAAGTTCTTCATAACACCATCTGTGAGGGAATTACTACGCCATGTGATGCCCCTCATAACACCATGTGTGAGGGAATTACTACGCCATGTGATGCCCCTCATAACACCATCTGTGAGGGAATTACTACGCCATGTGATGCCCCTCATAACACCATCTGTGAGGGAATTACTATGCCATGTGATGCCCCTCATAACACCATCTGTGAGGGAATTATTACTCCACATTGGGCCCCTTATAACACCATCTGTGAGGGAATTACTACACCATGTGATGCCCCTCATAACACCATCTGTGAGGGAATTACTACGCCATGTGATGCCCCTCATAACACCATCTGTGAGGGAATTATTACACCACATTAGGCCCCTCATACACCATCTGTGAGGGAATTACTACACCACATCAGGCCCCTCATACACCATCTGTGAGAATTACTACACATCAGGCCCTCAACACCATCTGTGAGAATTTCTCGCCATGTGATATAACACCATCTGTGAGGGAATTATTACACCACATTAGGCCCCTCATACACCATCTGTGAGGGAATTACTACACCACATCAGGCCCCTCATAACACAATCTGTGAGGGAATTACTACATCATCAGGCCCCTCATAACACCACCTGTGAGAAATTACTACACCACGTCAAGCCCCTCATAACACTATCTGTGAGGGAATTACTACATCATCAGGCCCCTCATAACACCACCTGTGAGGGAATTATTATACCACATCAGGCCCCTCATAACACTATCTGTGAGGGAATTACTACATCATCAGGCCCCTCATAACACCATCTGTGAGGGAATTACTACATCATCAGGCCCCTCATAACACCATCTGTGAGAGAATTACTACACCACGTCAAGCCCCCCATAACACCACCTGTGAGGGAACTCCACGTGATGCCCCTCATAACGCCATCTGTGAGGGAGTTACTACACTACGTGTCTGCTGTTCAACACCTCAGCTCACATGATCTACGTGTGTAAACATTAATCTGTATGTTCACTGTATGTTCCTCCACCTTTCTCTAATGAAGGCTTGTGTTAAACCACCAATGTATGTAACAAGTCATTTATGTCCAATGTATATTTTCACCTTTTCAATAAACCGTTTATTATTATTATTATTATTATTATTATTATTATTATTATTATTATTATTACGTATTATTATTATTATTATTATTATTATTATTACACACACACACACAAATAAACAATAATGGGAAAATCCTTTCACAAATAGTCAGAAACAAGACGAGTTAACTTTAATAACAAACCACAGAGTTGACTTAAGGGTAGAACCACATTTTTTCTACATTTTGATACATTTTGTTATCTTGTTTCTGATTATTTGTGAGAAGATTTTCCCATTATTATTTATTTGTGTGTGTGTGTGTGCACGCATGCATGCATGCACAATTGTCCTAAGGGCAAACCTCAGGGGAATACCGGTATGTTTGCGAAGTGAACATGTGTGGAGGCAATGGGCTGTAACTGCATTGCCACGCTCCCTCTCTTGATTTGACATCATGACATACACACAGCACAGTGTGGCAGCCACACATCTGTGAGTTTGATGGTTGACTACCTGGCTGAACTGGGTCATGTTACTTAGAGGATGGTTTGAGTTTGGAAGGGGCTATTTTTTCTCATTAAATATATGATACTGATTTTTATGATATGATATGTATCAATTTTATTATTTATCAAAGCAATTTTTTTTTCATTTTTGGTGCAATTTGTAATTTGTTGAAATTAGGCTATCCATGTGCTCATTAAATTAACTCTGAATCACATTGTTTATGCTGTATAGTGGAATAAGTGTTAAAAAATAAATATGGCAGCTTATCCCTGTTGTGTGCGGTATTCAAACTTACAATTGTAGCTGATTTTGGAGGAATTTTTATATTATTATTATTTCATTTTGGTGTTGGTTGGTTGAGTCTGCCAGTTGCCCAGACTCTGGATAATCCGGATCATGCTGTACAATCTTCATTTCTCTTCTATCACTCTGCCTACTTCATCATTCCACCACAATGTTACTGCATGCCTGGCTAGGCACTTCATCCAGCCACACATCTTGTCTGCTGCACTTATCAGAACACCCTTTGTTTTAGCCCAGTATCTCACACTCCCCCTCTCACTGTATGTTTCCAATCTTCTCAACTCAGCATAAAGTGCTTCTCAAGCATTCTGTTTTTTCAACTTCCACACTCTCCTTTGGAACATACGGTACATCTTCCTTTCTATACACCTTTTAAACAACATGTCACAAGTAATCTGTGTTGTAAGGCACATTTTTCCCCATTCTATAACATTTACATCCCTAACAAGCTTCCTATCTGATTTCCTAATGAGAAAGTAATCAGTCTGTGTTTTTGTCTCACCTGATTCATAATCAGTCTTCTCACTCTCTTCTTAAATAGCATATTGCATCCCTGAACTCAAGTATTCTTTCTCCTTTACATTTCTTATTATTATAGCCCTTTTCACCCCTGACATGTCCGTTTAGGTCACCACCCAGTACTACAATCTCTCTTTCACCCAGCTCTGACACCACATGCACCTGATGTTGGAAAGTCTTTGTCTGAGGATTCATGGACTCCTGGAAGTCACATAATGCTACAAGAGCTGCCTGGCTTCAGGTTGTACAAGAAACAAGAAATAATTTTTTGATTACTTCCTCCATTCCTGTAGGTGAAAAACTAACTGAATTTTAATAATCTTTATCAATGTTTTGAACTTTGTCCAGTTCTGCAATTAAGTACTCTGCCACTTGTTGTATATTCAAGGTTTTAAACTGAAACTGTTTTCATAATTGCAGGTATTCTTTCATTGTTCATGGCTGCTGCTGGAGCTAAGAAAGTTTATGCTGTGGAAGCTAGTGGCATGGCTGCTGTCATTCAGAAAGTGGCCAAAGACAATGGCTTTGGGGATGTTATCCAGGTTTGCCATGCTAGAGTAGAAGACATCTCTCTCCCAGAAAGTGAAAAGGTGGATGTTATTGTCTCTGAATGGATGGGGTTTTATTTGCTACATGAATCAATGTTAAATTCTGTAATATGGGCGAGAGATAATTTTCTTGCGGAAGATGGAACAGTATTCCCATCAGAGGCAAGAATGTATGCATGCCCATGCTCATTACAAACCCTGTATAAAGAACAGATTAGCTTTTGGGACAGTGTATATGGATTTAACATGTCTGCTGTGAAACAGTACGCCTTAAAATCTAAAATGACGAAGCCAGAGGTTTGTCTTATTCCAAAATCTGACTTATTAGCAGAACCAACTTGTGTTAAAAAGTTTAACCTACGATGGATGTCAGAAGGTGAAGTGAAGTTTTTTACCGAAACAACCTTTGTTGCCATTACTAAACCAGGGAGTTATCAAGGACTTTGTCTCTGGTTTGAATGTGATTTTGATGGTATAGACTATGATGAAAATGGAAAAGAAATTGGAAGTTTAGTTAAATTGTCAACTTCTCCATTCAGTCCTGCTACACACTGGAAACAAACAGTTGTTGTTCTTGGGTATGATGCAGACCAGGCTGATCAACAAATGGAATTGGTGTGCCAGGAAGGCTTAGATAGTATTATAGATTTAAGGGCAGGAATAATGAATTCAGGAGGTACATTAGATGACTGTGAAAATGAAAATAAACAAAACACATTGCCAGATGATCAACAGAAAAATGGCTGTTCTGAACAAGAGTGTGGCAATCGAACACAAATTACACCAAATGTTACTAGTGACAAAATAAGCCAATCTGGCCATGATAACAATGTTGAAGAGGATGAGGTTGTAGGTTGGAAGTTAACACTAGCTCAGAGTGATAGTAATGTGCGTCATTATACAATGGCTGTTGAAATGTTGGATCCAGAGAGTGAGGAACATCCTATACCATGCTACTGCCCAATGCCTAGATGTCTCATAATTACCAAGATGCTTGAGAAAGAGGAAGTGGTAGAGGATGATAATGAAGTCATAGATTGCACATAAAAACAAAAATACAATACAGGAGGCTCCCCAAATTCGCATATTTTTATTTAGCAGTCCTCTATTATTCGCGGATGACACTCTGGATGTACCCAAGAATGTCTGTGGGTAGTTTTAAAGTTGCCGTCATTTTTGCGGCTGGGACAGGGAGACATTCATTCATTCTAGAGACAGTAATTTCCTTTACCTGTATTGTAAATAAATGTGTGTGTGTGTAGACACGCACACATATATATACAATACAGGTAAAAGAAATAATTGTCCTAAGGGCAAATACATAAATGAAATACAGTATACATTTCTTTGTACACAAGTAAAAATGTAACCCCCCCCAGCAAATGTTCTTTGCGAATTTGGTGATTCGAGGCCATTTTGAGAACCTAACCCCTGCGAATTTGGGGGGCCCCCTGTATCTGCATATATGTTTTAATTACTTAAATGATTTTCATCACATCAAAAAAACTGAATTTGTCTCAAATTTGGAGATTTTCTGTAATGCAATACTGTAGGGTAGTATAAGACATTAAATGTTACATTTCACTTTATTACATAAATTAATGTTTATTAGGGTGTCTGTGATACATACAGTAAGTATCATGAGAATTTATCACAACTTATCTGTGGGTAAGTGCACAGAAAAACTTGTGTGATTTATCTTGCTGGTTACTAGAAGAAGATCTATATAATTTGTAGTGTAATTATATACCTTTGTCCAAAAAAATTATATGTAGAAACTACATCCCAAGTGGTGCAATATGATACTGTATACAGTTGGTACAGTAAATACTTGTAATCATATAAACTATGGTGAAATAAACTATAGATTCCTTTTCTTTTCTTTATTCATCATTGTAGGACAACTGACCTGCTAGAGTGTATCCCAACCCAGCTTCAGCTTGGCATAATAACTTTGTTTATGTCAAAAATATAATTATGTTTCTTGGGTTTTAACCCCTATGCCCCGGGTGACGTTCCAGAACGCACGCCATTTCCCGCCACTGTTTGAATGCCCATCGCGGGTTAACAGGTACCAGCACAGGAGGGAAGTGTGGGTGGGCTCAGAGCGGTCAATAACCATTTCCCAGTCGTCATGGAGAGTCACTCGTCAACTTCCACTCCAATCAAGATTCGCCGCCGTGGGTTAGATGATGGCCAGATAAGGAAAGAACTACAGTCAACCCTCGCTTTACGCGGTCCCACATTCCACGTTTACGCGGTACCCTGCCGAAACATGAATGCTCACATTCCGCGGTGCGTGTACCCCTTTACGCGGAGAGCGGCTGGCGAGCCGCGCCATTTTTGGATCCAAACCTCCTGCCATCCGCCATGTTGTGTAAGCGGCGCAAGCAGGGTGCGCACAAGGTCGCCTAGTCATCAAAACATTACCGAGTTCTTCACCCGCCACCCACCACAGCCGGCCCAAGTCAGTGATAGTGATAATTATAGTGAGGATATGGACTTATATGGACTTTGAGGGGTTTGACAAAGAGGCCCTGCAAGCCTCTGTGGTGGATAGTGATACAATTGATACAAGTGATACAGGTGAGGGCCAATAATCTGCCCTCTGCCTCGGAACCAACCCCCCATCCCCGTGTGCCCAGCCATCTTTTCTACTAATGTAAGTGTTAAAAAACCTAATATTATTGATATTTCTCTTAATTATTAATTGTGTGTGCATACCATCATAAAGTTAAGATAATATTTTTACTACAACATAGTTGTGTATCGTCAAAAAGTGGAGTTTGGGGGTCGGCCTGGTCTCTATTTCAATTACAGTACTCCCATATGTTCTGTTGTTCACTTTACACGTTTCTCACTTTCCGCGGTACCCCGTGGGTTGAATTAACCGGGTAAAGTGAGGGTTGACTGTATTTGATGCGAGTGCTGTAGTGGTTGAATCTGGTGAAAATGGTGATGAAGACAGTAATTATATGCCTAGTGATCCTGATGATAGCATCGAGTTAGATGATATATTAGAGACAAGTGAGGAAGAGCATGACGCAGGCAGTGAGGCCCAGCCAGAACAGTGTATCCCAGCCATGTGCTCACGGCTCAGACAAGGGACAATGGTTGCCTTTGTTTGGTCTGATGGCACTAATTTTCAGTGTGACATCCCTGATTTCAGAAGATCATCAGGTGGAATTACTCTTGATTTTCCTTGTACAGAGGAATCACGTAAGATGGATTATTTTTGTGCATTCCTTGATGGTGCAATTATGGACTTACTGTGTACTGATGTGACAACGTAGTGCAAGGAGTGTGAGGTTGGTCTCTGTAAACCTTGTTTTATGGAGTACCACTCAAAGAAACATTCTAAAACAATATGGAACGTGCTTTTAAATAGTGTAAATGGTAGTGTAAGTGTTTATGTTAGGTACAAAGTGACAGATTTGTGGAAAAGATATACAGTTGTATGCTTTTACTCGTCTCTACACACGGGCGCTGGCAGAGCCCTCCGTGTTTCAGGGAGAAGAGTAGTCATCCTGGTACAGTAGGGTTGGATATATCGCGACTTTATATAACTATTTTTTTATAAAGCGGCTACCAAAATTATCGGCATTTTCCTATATTGCGATAAAATTATTTATTTCGCAAGGGAAATCAGGCAGGAAATATTTCAAATGTACCGCCATGGCAAACAAATGAGTTATTTGCTCACCGGAGGCGCCACTGTGGCTGCTCACTCACTCATTCCTGCTCGCCTGCTCAGTCTTTCTGAGTGAGTGACGAGAAAGCAGCCGACTGCTGCAGATTACAACTTCTAAGGCGAGTGTAAATGGGTTGCTAGTGACGTGAAGATAATGGAAAGCTTAATAGAAAAGATTTAATGCTGTAACTAATATTTTTGGAGTTCGTGTATGTAGGTGTGGGATTGTCAAGTGAGAGTGGTAGTGTGGCGTCTGTTGTTCCCAGTATGGTGCGTCAGCTGCCGAGTCTGGTGTTCCTTGATATTGATATTGAAAGGGCCTGTTGTTCCTGAGTCTAGCATTCATTGATGCTTTAGTTAGTAAAAAAATTAACTCGTTAAGTCAAGTATAGTCACTTTTTTTGGCCTCCAGAACCTAACCCTATTTTCCCCATTGATTACATGTAATTATTTATCGCAATTTAGTACTGTATATAGTGAACATCGTTGGACCCTATCTCGCGATATATCCCGACCCTACTATACCTGATAATTATCAGAATAATAATTTCACAAATAAATACAATTATAACATAATCATAGTACGGTATTATCATCTAGTAATGCTAAACTACACTACAACTGCACTACTTTTAGTAATATTACTTTGATAGAACATGATAAAATGGACAAACAATGAAAATAAACAAACAAAAGAAGTTATTTACCAAGAAGCTTCCCTTTGACCGCGTGTAAGAGGGGGGGGGGGAGATAAGAGGGCTATATTGAGCTTGTCTTTGTGTCCGAGGTGGCCAATTATGCACATATTTACTGATCATAATACTTATCTCCTATAAATAATTCATTTAGAATTTACTTTATTTGCATTATTTTTCATAAAAGTGCTTGGCGACACACAGCAGCCTGGCTGTCTTTGTTTGATAGAGCAAGTAATACATAAAATAATAATAATTCAACAAATAAATACATTTATAACATAATCATAGCATTATTTTCCAGTAATACTACACTACTATACAACTACAGTAGGTTCTCAAATTTTGCGAGTTTTTAATTCAACGTTTTTTTATTTGGACACAAAAAAAGAAGACTACACAATTTCAAATTTCGACAGCAGGTTTGAGCGGCCCGCCAACGTTCAGACGTGCACAATCGTGTTAACGGCATCATTTCTGTTATGTACAAAAGATTCATTATTGTTTATTACTAAATGTCTTTTTGATTGAATTAATGTTTTGTGTGCAAAATGAATAATACAATTCATTAATAATACGTAGAATATTAAAACAAACGAGGAGACGAGATGACATTGTTTTCGTTAATGTTTATAATACCAGTGACTGACTGGTTCTACATATAAAACGGAAGAAAATAAGACCCTGGTTGTACCTGTAGTAAAATTAATGTAAAAAAAATAGTATGGTTGTTTTAAGTAATGTTATTAAATGGAACAATAAAAGTAGCTAACCATTAATGGTAAAGAAAAAGTGAGACTGCTCATATGTAAGTGCACACATGTGAAAACATATTGTCATTACTCTACATAAGAATATGAAGGCAACACTTATTTACTGTTCATATATACAGGTATTTTAATTAATGTTTCTGAATTTAAAACAAAAATTCTACCCACCAGTGGTGGTAAAGTTGAAAATATAAGGACAGTCAATGTTGTGTATTTTTACTTGGGCAACGAAGTTGCCAAGTCATCAGGTTCAACTCTAGCTGAAGCTGTAGAACATAAGAACTTTTTCTGTGTTGTTTTTAGTTATTATTTAACTTTATCTGTTATTTTCATTGGTTTATAAAGATTTTGCTTTATTACAGGTAGTAATTCGCCAAAAAAGTAGGGTATATCAGGCAAAATTTAGCCAAACATCGAAAGTACCAAACTAAAATTAATTTTCTCAATAGGAAGTTGTATTTAAATTTGGACGATTTGAATTTTGTGAGGTTTTTACAGTCTAAACGGGTGTCCAAATATGAGAGCCAACTGTACACTACTTTTAGCAATATCACTTTGATACAACATTATAAAATGGACAAACAATGAAATTGAAACAAACAAAAGTAGGTAATTATGTTCAGGAAGCTTCCCTGTGGCCGAGCGTGTGGTATGAGAGGCAAATAGTCATAAGGGAACTTGATAACCCGCGCTGGGCATTTAAACAGTGTTGGGAAAAGGCGCGCGTTCTGGAACGTCACCCAGGGCCTAAGGGTTAAGGTTATTTTAATAAAATGCCATTCAAATGTAAACAGGCGCTAGTTTATTTGGATTAACAAGTTCTTTCCAGCATATTTAAGTAAAACAATAATTATTAAATCATGCAAAACAGACCCGACACATTGGAGTTAAGCATAAGAATGGGGTTCCTTAAGTCAGAGCCCTTATTAATTTTCAATTCTTTCAATGAAGTAAAAATATATTGGTAGACACATGGTATTTGAAATCTAAAAAATTACATTTGTAACTATAGTGTTGCTTTAACAATAAAACCTAAGTGATAAAATAAAAATGTGTATTTTCTTAAACTGTATGTCAAAGATATTGGTACAGGTACTGTCTATGTTTCCTGGACTGTAATACCTCAGCACTTACAATAATACTGAAGTACTATTACATAATCAAACATATAAATCAACATGTGAAGATTGCCAAGTTTTTTAGATAACAGTTTCTACTTGACTTTCTTTTGTATTTATTATTATTACAATAGACTTTCTTTTGTATTTATTATTATTACAATAACCAACTTGTGAGTATGTACAGTGGAAAAAAAAAACTGTTTTAGTTACTGACAGTCACATAGAACAAGGTTATTAATAAAACAAATTCTTTCCTTTCAATACATCCTGTACATAAAATGTAATTTTCCTCAAAAAGGTTTAGTATGGAAATAGAAATAAGTTATTTAGAAATGAATGATCAACCAATAAGTTGAAATCACATTACAGTACATACAGTTCACAGTCAATTGCCTATTACTGTACAAACTTATGCACTTGGTGCCAGAAGGGATTTGTCCATGAACTTCTTTTTGGTAAAGCAGAGCCACCACTTGGAAGGCTTCCCATCTGGAGTGTTGAAGACACGCTCACATACACGCAGTCCCGTTTCCTGTCTCAATTGTTGGAGGTACTGCTGCATCAGTTCTGTGTGGAGCAGTGAGGAAATTAGAGAAAAAAATGCACCTGACTTAATAATACAGGGAGTCTCTGCGTTATGAACAGGTTAAGTTCCTGGGCCCTGTTTTGTAAGTCAGAACTGTGTTAATTCCATAAGTTAGGTTACGTTAAAACAACCCGGAACATACTGTAGAAAACAATAATAAATAATGTATATACCTGTAAATAAAGTGGTTAAATAATATAAACTAAAGTAAAAAAAAAAAAATAATAATAATTAACCCGTTGAGCGTCAGCCAATATTAGACGTAATAGACAACCCAGTGCTGCCCCCAAAAAATAATAATTCTTCCCTAAATCATCTGAAAATGGTCCAGGAAACATGAAAATCAAAAGAATAACTGCGTTTTTTTTTGTACGGGGATTAACCCACCCGGGCACAGGTCACTGACCCACATCAGGGCCTGGGGGGCGAAAATGTAATAATACTGTAATAATAATAATAAAGAACCATAAATTAATACAAATATAAAAAAAAAGATCAAAAGTGAGAAACAATATATGTATGTTGTGTTGTCAATAGTAAGTGAAACAATTGAGACCTTACAATTGTGTAAATGAGGCAGAAAGTCAGATCAGCAACCTGGGACTTGGTCACAAGTTTTGTGATGCCATGTGGCAGCAGGGTCTACCATAGACAACACATTATGCTTCCAATATCTTCCCAGGCGGTAGTACCTCCCTGTTTGGCAGCTGCCTATTACCTACTAACTACCAGTAGTTATGGTGGTGGAGGAGGTATGGAGGGACTCACGGCACCCATCACCATGGCAATCGGCTGAGTCATGCTCCTCCCCCACGCCACTCTGACAGTTCTCCACTTCCCTAACACCTCTTGTGTGTGGGTTTCTTTTGTTTTATTTCTGGTTATTCCTCCCACATCAATCATTATTCAATATGCATGTTAGAAAATTAATAAAACACTACTGTGAGTTGATATTTTTTTATGATGTTTGCTTATCCAAGTTCCCCTCAATTGCATACAATTGGGTATTATCCGTGTCTGTGAATGGTAAAGGCTACGGAGGGTGTCATGGCAGCACTGCCACTGCCTGGTTCACATCATATTATTACACTAATAGTTCTGAAGAGTGTGATAGTCCTTGAACCATGGTGCTACTTTATACTCATTACAGCAGTAACGAGTATCCTTCCTCTTCTTTGCTCTTCGTGACGTGTTGTAGCAGATGTGGCACTGTTCTGTGCTTTCTTCTTGCCAGGGGTTGGTGGTAAGGTGGAAGGACAGTGGCGACCTCTGAGACAGAGTGTCACGAGCTGGATTACAAGGTGTTACATGGTGTTCTTGCCAGTACGTCTGAAACATCTCCCTCACCATTTCAACAAGAAAATGAAGTGTTCTGATCATAGAGTGGATCATTATCCGACTCAGAAAAATCATCTGGGGTAAGCTCTGATGTAGGCTCATACTTGACAGCAAGTTACGAGTATTCCGCCTCAGTCCGCCTGGAGCGAGAGCGGTGTGACATGTTCCTGCATGGCTGGCGTGAGCTTGACTCTCTGAGTGATGAACACTGTCGCCGCTGTGGCATGCAGGGCGTGTAGCCATGTGGCCCAGGAAGCAGTATACCAGTAGGCAAGGAGGGGGATGATAATGTAGCTCTAAGCGCATCTTGCTACTACCACAAATATGAGTTCAGGACAATGCTAAATCTAGAAACGTACTTTTACAGGATTAGCACTGGTCGTGGCTGGTCACCCAACTTGTGTAAGTACGGGATTAGCGCTGGGCGGGTTAATTGAAGATTTTTGTGATGAATATACTGTATTGGGATCCTGTTTGTACGTTGGGTGTTCATAACTCAGGGACTGCCTGTATTTACAATCACATACCACAGATGAAGCTACATACTACCTTCACTTTTGCATAAGAATATCTTAAAAAAATTCTGCACGAGTAAATTCAAGTCTATTTGTTGAATACTGTACACTTATTACAGGTCCACAATCCCTTGGGGCCAGATGTGTTTCGGAATTTTTTGGATTTCAGAATGATAGTAAGGTACATACACCGTATATTATGGTAACACCCTAGCAGGGTCTGTGGCAGCACCCCGTAAACAAACAGGTTAATATTTCTACAACAAACCTTATGAATATTCACACTGAGTGGGATAAATAAAGACTATTAGGTTATTTGTACAGTAATAATTTGGTAAATGAAATCTTGGGATAAATATTGTCGAATCCACTCAATCAGCATATGGTCAAGATCTTCATTTTTTGCCCTATGTAATGTTTTCCTATTTTTCATTAGTTTATGGTCATCACTGTCAGTGTAAAACTTCAACAGCTTGTCTTTCTGTTTCTTTAAGTCATATACGGTTGTAGTTCCCACACCATATTCTTTAGTAAGACGCCACACAGGCACACCACGATCAAGTTTCTGTAATAACTCCACTTTCTGTTCTATCGATAATGAAAGATGCATCCTTTTCTTCTTCTCACTGTTACCCATGGGGGTATCTGAAGCTCTTTTTGACATTTTCACAGTGAAATTAAACCCAAAATCACAAAAAATATCAGAGCAGCAGCAGACGCACTTGTGACTGGTAGCAGTGCCGAGACACAACTGATGCATCACACCTGCGTGGGTGAAGCTTCAGCCTCGTCAGGTCATGTTCGGCATCATTCGGGTTATGTCGTGCACACGAGTGATGCTCCACGAAAAAACTTTCGGTTTTCAAAGCTTTTCGGATTTCAGAAATGCAGATAAGGGATTGTGGACCTGTATCATACAATAATCAGAAGAAAAAATCAAAACAGAGCCATATATTACATCTAACTGTGCAGTTATCAACAAGAACCATGTAGATGCACACAGACACGCACACAAGGCCATTAGAGGGAGAATACACATCTCAATAAATCACTCTTCACCATAACTCACACAATTTGTTTATTTATCATTACCATATATTTATTACATGTTTATTGTTCTGATATCATCAGATTGGTAAAAATGGGTGTACAGTACAGTACTGTAATGTAGATGGTGTGGTGGGTGGCACATCAGTTAACAATGAGATGACAAACCTCTCACTTGTATTTCATATGCATTTGTATATACAGTATAGTAAACCCTCAATAACTCGGAATTTCGTATAACTCGGCAAGGATATGGTCTCGGAATGTATTATAGTATAACTTGGGAAATGCCAAGATATGTAAAATTATCTGGGAAAATCTTGGCATATCTGGCCACCTGCGTCACCTACCATACCTGTATCACCTACCATGACTGTCACCTACCATACCTCTGTCTCACCTACCATGCCTCTGTCTCACCTACCATGCCTCTGTCTCACCTACCATGCCTCTGTGTCACCTACCACGCCTCTGTATCACCTACTATACCTGTGTCACCTACCATAACTGTATCACCTACCATGCCTCTGTACCACCTACCATGCCTCTGTATCACCTACTATACCTGTCACCTACCATAACTGTATCACCTACCATGACTGTGTCACCTACCACGACTGTGTCACCTACCATACCTTTGTGTCACCTACTATACCTGTTACCTACCATACTTCTTTATCACCTACCATACCTCTGTATCACCTACCATGCCTCTGTGTCACCTACCATACCTGTGTCACCTACCATGCCTGTGTCACCTACCATGCCTCTGTCACTTACCATGCCTGTCACTTACCATACCTCTGTGTCACCTACCATACCCCTGTGTCACTCTGTCACCTACCATACCTCTGTGTCACCTACCTCTGTGTCACCTACCATACCTGTGTCACCTAACATACCTGTCACCTACCATACCTGTCACCTACCAACCCTACCTGTGTCACCTACCATACCTCTGTGTCACTTACCATGCCTCTGTGTCACCTACCATGCCTCTGTGTCACCTACCATACCTCTGTGTCACCTACCATACCTGTGTCACCTACCATGCCTCTGTGTCACCTACCATACCTCTGTGTCACCTACCATGTGTCACCTACCATGCATCTGTCACCTACCATACACCTGTGTCACCTACCATGTGTGTGTCACCTACCCTGTGTGTCACCTACCATACCTACCATGTCACCTACCATACCTGTGTCACCATACCTCTGTGTCACCTACCATGCCCCTGTGTCACCTACCATACCTTGTCACCCACCATGTGTCACCTACCATACCTCTACCTCTGTGTCACCTACCATACCCCTGTGTCACCAACCTACCTGTGTCACCTACCATGCCTGTGTCACTTACCATGCCTCTGTGTCACCTACCATGCATCTGTGTCACCTACCATGCCTGTGTCACCTACCATGCATCTGTGTCACCTACCATACCTCTGTGTCACCTACCATACCTCTGTGTCACCCACCATACCTTGTCACCCACCATGCCTCTGTGTCACCCACCATACCTGTCACCTACCATGCCTTGTGTCACCTACCATACCTCTATGTCACCTACCATACCTGTGTCACCCACCACACCTGTGTGTCACCTACCATGCCTCTGTGTCACCTACCACACCTCTGTGTCACCTACCATGCCTTTGTGTCACCTACCATGCCTCTATGTCACCTACCATACCTGTGTCACCTACCATACTTGTGTCACCTACCATACTTGTGTCACCTACCATGCCTCTGTGTCACCTAATATACCTCTGTGTCACCTACCATGCCTTTGTGTCACCTATCATACCTCAGTGTCACCTACCATACCTCTGTGTCACCTACTATGATGCTTCATTCTTTGCCTGCAGTGCTGGTAAGTGTTACTTCTATACATTTAGTAATTACAGGTACAATCAAAGACAAAAGTTGTGTGGCGGTTTTGTCCGTAGATTAAATATAACTCGTGAAACATTATGAGAGCCCTACCACAAGGCAGAGCGCACCAAAAGTTTAGCCCTTCGGCATATGTTTTCACCAAATTTCATGTATGTATTTTCTAGTACCGAAACGTTTCCGTCCTGTACGACAGCGTGGCGTGGGTTGGACCGCCTCGTGGTGTACAGCATCCACGCCGTAGCCCACTCAGTTGGTGTTTGGCCGTCGTTGGTGTTAGTGATCGCGCTGTGTACTAACAAAATTTTCGTTTCTAATTCCCTTTAAAATGACTGGCAAGCGTAAAAGTGAGAGTTCTCGTGGTGCTCAGAAGAAAAAGAGACAGTCACTTACTTTTGAGATGAAAATGAAAATAATAATGCAATATGAAAATGGAAAAACGGTAGCAACCATTTCACATGACCTTGGCTTCTCTCACTTGACGATATCAACAAATTTGAAGGACAAGGCAAAGGCATTTGCTACTATTAACAAGAGGATGCAAATGTTTGAAGAAATGGATCGAAATGTTGAGCGTTTTGCAAAAGTTGACAGACAGATCCAAGATGCACTTGCTTGCTACAGGGAGATTTACAATGAAGAGAAAAGGCAAACTGTGCAGTCTAAATTGGACATATATTTTAAGAAGTCCCCCACTGCTGTCTCCTCAGGTCTTCTTACTGCTGCCTCTTCACTCCCTAAAGATGATCCAATACGTTCAACAAGCAAGTATGCTAACCTGTCTGAAGAAAGCAAAATTGATGACCCACCCAGCCCTGTCTCCTCCTCTGCTTCATCCAATTAATGTAGTCTCCATGTTTAATTAAAAAATTATTGAGGCCCCGTGTGCATTCAGCTGACTACATTAAAGGTGAGTGCACAGTAACACTTCATTTATTTTTCATTATTGATTACTTTTATTGTACCGTATTTCATTTTAGATTTTCTATGTATTATTTTCGACTTACGACCTGGTCGTCGGTCCCTAACCCCATCGTAAGTCGAGGATTGACTGTATATATACAGTAGTGCCTCGAATAACGACAGTAATGTGTCCTCCAATATTGCAGTACTGTATAAGGTGAATCATTGTATCGTGAATCATTAATTACCATTAAAATAAAGCAATAATAATGAGATGCATTCCCAAGTCTGACCTTTTCATATCTTTTGTGTGGCTTTTTACCCTCTTTTCCCCCTAAACAAAATAATGAAAAATGCAAACTACATTCTTTAAATAATGTTTCTGAATGCACCTTATACAATATAAACGATTAATAATATGGTCACACAAGAGGAGATGGGACGCCATTGCTGTTGTCAATGTTTACACCCATAATGTCAGTTATCCATCTGAAACTGAAGAAAATAAGACTGGTTGTTGCTGAAGTAAAAATTAATATTAAAAAAATGAATATTTATGTTTTAAGTAATGTTATGTAATGTTAATAAATGGAACAATAGAAGTAGCTAACCATTAATGGCAAAGGAAAAAAGTGAGATGGATTGGGAATGCCAAAATATACGTGCACATTTAAGGAAACAGCTCATTTATCTTAAGAATATGTACAAAATACTCATTATAGTTTATTACTGAATTTGTTTTAAGTAATGTTATTTAATGTTAATAAATGGAACAATCGAAGTAGCTAACCACTAATGGCAAAGAAATAAAGCAAGACGATTAGGAATGCCAACGTATGTAAGTGCGTACATGTGAAAACATATTGTCATTTCTCTACATAAGACTACGATAGTCACTTATTTACTGCTAAATTATGTTTTAAATAATACTTATGAATGTAAAACAAAACTTCTACTCACTAATAGTGGAAAAGTCTAAAACATAAGGACAGCCAATGATGATGTGTGAGTTTTCACTCAGATGACGAAGTCATCGGGTTCAACTCTGGCTGAAGCTGTAGCTTTCCATAAAGATATCATAGCTGTTGCTGAAACTGTTAGTGAACCTGAAGTTGTTGCTGAAGCTGCTTATGATGCTGAATTTGATGGTTTAGCTGAAGTTGATGGTTTAGGCCTTCGAATAATAAAGCTGTCAAAAGAACCTTGCACAGCTGCTTTCTTTCTCATTATACATCTTTATGTAGAGGTCATTTGTGTTTATTTAAATTTTAATGCTTTGTTCTGTTAATGGATCCACTTAAGAAAATATGTTCATTGCTTGCTCCATATAATATCCACAGACCCCTCACCCTTTTCATATCGTTTTAACACATCTAGTTTCTCAGATAAGCTTATACACCTTCTTATAGCTTTTGAAACAACACTACCAACACTTGCTCTCTTGCTTATGTTGAATAGGGACACAAAAATGCTGTAAGAAACCTGAGAAAGTTTTTCTCCTTTTCCTGTTCAGATGCATGAAAACAAAGGGCCCGCCAGCTGTGACTGTTTGTACTAGTGATGCTGGCGTCACCACTCACAAGCCCGGCAGCCTCCGTGTGCAAGGCTTGTTATTTTGTTTTTGTGTTTTTGTAAAATACATATCGGGATTGAGTTATTATTTATATGAAAATGAATTTTCATTATTTTTTTTTTGTCGTAAATAAGAGGAAAATAATTGCGTAAATTGAATTGGGTCCTAACTAAACCAGGATCTTAAATATAAATCGTAGGATTATGTGTGCATGTAACCGGGTATAAAAAAAAAAAAATATGTGTATTGTACTGTGTTTACCCAAAATTAAGAGTTAGAAAAATACTTAATACCTTATGATAATATTTTTTTTCACTTTGTGTATGTAAGATTAAATGTGTACATAACTGGGTAAAGAAAATGAAGAAAATTTCCTTATCTACCCAAAATTATGACTTGAAAAATAACTATATCATAACACATAGCTCACAGGTGGGGAATGGTTGGAAAGATCTCCGTTCAGATTGGGAATTACTTTTGGCGCTCATTTTAAGTAATTTGTTCCAGAACATAGTTGGTTTTTGGAACATTCCGTACACCAGGACGCTGGATAAATGGTACCATACTTCTAGTTTTTATCGAGTCTGGATTTACGCGGTTTTTGTTTATGCATTTGGTCATTTACGCGGCACCTTGCCAGAATGAAATGTTTTAATTACGCGGTAAATTTCATCATTTAAGCGGGTGAAGTATAATTTGTTTATTTACTAAAGATATATATGTTTTTAGCTCATAAAATATATAATTTACATTGCTGGAATCCTTACAAGATGGTGATCATTTTAAATATAAACATCTTAACATTTGCATTAGACATACAAATTTTAGATGTACTAATGTAAGGAGATGATGAAAATTAGCAAACATTTTATCTTTTGTGCAAAATATATGACATTTACATTCAAAATATTCCCTGTCCTGCAAGGAATCCAGCAATGTTAATTACAGTATATTATCCTAACTTTAGTCTGAGGTATTATTTATTACTATATTCTACCTTAAAATCTAGTGTTTTCACCCAAACATTTCTCAGAGAGGGAGGGGCCAGCGAGCGTGGGAAGAGGGGGGGAGGTTGCGTCCATTATTTGAATGGACATTAACCGGGCGACTGTATTTCTCTTAAATATTAATTGTGTGTGCGTACCATCATAAAATTAAGATGTTATTTTCACTTCAACGTAGGTATTGTGTCGGAAAAAGTGGAGTTTGGGGGTCGGCCCAGTCTCTATTTCAATTAATCCCAAATGTTCTGTTATTTCATTTACGCGTTTCTCGTTTTACACGGGCCTCCACCAGTTCAATTGACCGCGTAAATGCAGACTCCACTGTACAGTTACTCCCCGACTTGCGACCTACTCGACTTACGTCCACCCGCACTTACAACCTGCCTCAGTCGTACCAAAATTTGGTCAAATTACGTATTTTCGAGTCCCAAAGTCAGTACACAAACAAAATTTTCATTTGTAATTCACTTTAAAATGGCTGGCAAAATTAAAAATGAGTGTTTTATGGTGCTGAGAAGAAAAAGAGACCCCCATTTTCGATTTTCTATGTGTTATTTAAGCATTTCCGACACGACCATTTCGACTTACGACCTGGATGTGTATAGATTTTCAAAATGAGAAGAAAAGTGGAGTCTTAAAATGAACTCACCCAAATCAGCATCATTCTTGGCACGAGCATATACAGCATTCAGTGGGAATGATGGATCTCCAGGAATAGGGAACTTGGAGACTGCAAGAGAGTACATTTCATTTGATCCAGTATTCTTGTCTTTGCATTTTGCCAGTTTCTTCAGACACTCGGTAATGTACAAAGTCACATAGATCAAGGTTCGGTCACATTCACCCTGTTAAAGGAAAGTGGCAGATAAATTTTGAGGTACAGCATATTAAACATACATATTGTATCATATCAGTTGATACTCAAGCAGTTGATCTATTCCCTTTCTTCCTTAGCTGTACAAACACCAACATGAACTACTCATATCTCTTCTTGACTGACAGTGAGGTGACAATGTAGTACCCAAGGTATTTACAAAGCTAGCAAGTCCAAGGGAGATTTCAAACTTTTATGTTATTGTCAAAAAACCAATCCCCTAGTTCCAGACCTGGGCAATTCACTTTCAGGTGGGTAAGCTGGGTGAGGGATCTCATAACTCTTTGTCCAGGAGAAGGAATTTACAGTTCCAATCAGTTGCCGTACTAGTTCAATTAGCAATCATTGGTTAATTATTAACCATTGGGTGAGGAGGGGGTAGGCTGATTATAAGTTGAATTTTTTATCAGACCATCTTTCAGACAAACTACGATGGCTTTTAAACAGTGAAAAACAGGTGTATGAATAAAAATTTTAAATAAGCAAATTTTCAAAAATCAAACATTCGGTTATTGAGGGATGAGAGATTCCTCTAGCATATCCCTCATTAAAAATATAAAGTAGTTTTGTATCAAGTATTCTACTATTAACCAATATCTATAAAGACATGAAAACATTACATAAACTAACCTTAACTTCATAAGTCCGGAAGAATACATTGGCTTTGAAATATTGTAATGCTTCATCAACCACATCAATCCCTTCAGCAGACATGACAGGTGCAGGTCCTCTGTACTTGGTTCTTATGGGAAGCATTGCCATATTTCCCACAACTGAGCCCGGGTGAGGCAAGTTGCAATGGTAAGCCTGTTAATTTAAGAAATAACTGTTACTTCAGTATATATTCTTTCAATAAATTCAAAATATCACCTATGGTAAAAACTTCAGAAATTTGATATCAGTTATCCACAGTAAATGATTAATAATCCACAGTAAATGATTAATGTCAAATTCAGATATTTTTGGTCCAGCTTTGATAACCAGTTTGGAAATTTCCAAAGCTTGGAGACACATAAAGTCAGCAGTCTACAGGTATAGGTTGTACCTCTCTAGTCCGTCAACCTCGGGACCATGGAAATTGCTGGACCATGGAAATTCACCCTTTTCCTGGATAGATAGTGACTTGTGCTTATGCTTGGAAGCACTAGCACCACTTTCTCTGCATCATGGTCTCTTTGAAGACATATTGAAGGGTTAAATGTCGTATAGTAGCTTCTCAAATTTCGCGAGTTTTTAATTCAACGTATTGTATTGGAACACACACACACACAAAAAAATAAATAAAAATTTTGACGGCGGAAACTTGAATTTCGACGGGTTTGAACGGCCCGCCAATGTGCAGACGACGTGCATAATCGTGTAAACAGCGTCATTTCTCTTATGTACAAAAGATTCATTATTGTTTATTACTGAATGTCTTTTTTATTGAATTAATGTTTGTGTGCAAAATGAGCAATACAATTCATTAATAATACGTAGAATATTAAAACACACGAGGAAATGACACAGCATTGTTTTCGTTGATTACAAAACCAATGACTGACTGGTTCTACATATAAAACTGAAGAAAATAAGACCTTGGTTGTAGCTGTAGTAAAATTAATATGGTTGTTTTAAGTAATGTTATTTAATGTTAATAAATGGAACAATAGAAGTAGCTAACGATAATGGTAAAGAAAAAAGTGCACACACGTGAAAACATAACGTCATTACTTTACATAAGAATATGAAAACAACACTTATTTACTGTGCATATATATTTTAATTAATGTTTCTGAATTTGTTTTTATTGAATTAATGTTTGTGTGTGCAAAATTAACAATACAAGTTATTAATAATACGTGGAATATTAAAACACACGATGAGACGAGACGGCTGTCGGCATTGTTTATGTTAAAGCTTACAAAACCAGTGACTGATTGGTTCTACATATAAAATTGAAGAAAATAAGACCCTGATTGTAGCTGTAGTAAAATTAATGCAAAAAAATTAATATGGTTGTTTGAAGTACCTGTAATGTTATTTAATGTTAATAAATGGAACAATATAAGTAGCTAACCATTAATGGTAAAAAAAAAGTGAGACTGAGCATATGTAAGTGCGCACATGTGAAAACATATCGTCATTACTCTACATAAGAATATGAAAGCAACACTTATTTACTGCTCTTATATATTGAAGGGTTAAATGTTGTACTCTGTATAGACAAGCAGAGAGAGAGAGAGCAGCCGAACTGCCGGATGTAAACAAACCTTAATTTCCCGCGGCTTTGTTGTTGTTTTTTTTTATGGGGATTACCCTCCCCAGGCATAGGTCACTGACCCACATTGGGGCCTGAGGGGCAAAAATTTAATACTCCTGTAATAATAATAACAATTCAGATAAAAAAAAAAAAAAAAAAAGGCTGCCCATCTACCTATTGGACAAACTAAAATCGTTCCGGACCACGGGAGTTTCCGGACTAGAGAGGTACAACCTGTACTTGTAAAAATAAGTCTGAGGTTAGTACAGTATATTTAATCGGATATGTAAATACATTTTATTATAGGATGACAGACAAAAAAAATAAGAATTCTATATTTGCTATTAGTCCAGTTGTCAGTTAGGTAGGGATTATTTTAGACTAACACTAGAAGGAGTTCATAGAATTGGTCAAAACTTTGTGGAAACGTTAATTACAATCTATTAAACAGATAAACTCAAACAAAAATCCATTCAGTGTAGTTAAGTATATTTTAAAAGATAGGTAAGGTTAAGTAGGTTACCCTAGGTTAAGTTGGCGAGGTCAAGTTCTAATATGTTATGTTCATTCACATTTCCATTTATCTATTTGCAAGTAATAGATTGTAAATAACGTTTCCACAAAGTTTCGTCCAATTCTATAAAATCCTTCTGGTGTTATTAAAAAAACTACCTAACCAACAACTGGACAAATGTCCACAGCCAATTTTATTCTGTTGGATTTTCAGTGAAAATTTATAGTTTTAGAGTAAAGTGAATTATAAAGGAAGGAAAATTCCTATATGACTTTGGCACTTCTCCAGTTCACTGGAGTAAATTTCATGGGATTTATTGTTTACTTCTGCATGTACAGGTACTGTAATACAATACAGTATAGGCATGATCAGGTTACAACAAAATTGGACATATTTTAACTTCCTTGAGCAAGTTTCCTGATAAATAATGTTAATTTCTCTGTGAATTTCACATTATCAGGTTTCACCAATCTGATGATGACATTCTGTCTTGTGACAGATCTGCACATGCTCCAGTATTTTATCTGGATATATTTATTCGCAGTATGTCTTCCTTGTATCCCTGTTGTTTGACGTCTGAATTGGAAACCATTCAAAGTGTCCTGCATTGCTTAAATAAGGTAAAGTTTGGACAGGTTAGATCAGGTTGCCAAAGGTTTCACTTTTTTTTTTTTACCCTACAATTCCCTCGAGTCTTCTTCAAAGCCCTACCCACTTTGTGTATCCGTTGTTGTTGGTAGTAGGGTGGATCATACCTCAAAAAATATTAATTTCTGCCAAAATTGTAGGTGATATTCTTTTAAATCACCACCAGTTACATAAGAAAAACCTATTTTTGTTAGTGAATCCTGTCCATATACTCCACCAAATCTTTACCCATTTTCCTCATTTTATGAGCAACAAATACCCTGTATGATAAAGACAGTGGATATTTTGCTGTTACTGTTAAGTTTCTTGGAACACTATTTTACTGTGAGTGCACTCTGATTAGCTAATCATCCATTACCGGCGAACAACGCGAGAACTATATTTAACGGTTACTCTGGTGGCATTTATTTAGCTGCGAGTCAATTGTTGTGTAGCTGTAAACATACCTAACCATATTTCTGTTGTCCATTTTAACTTATTATAAAAGAGGCAACATTTACTATGACCTAATAGTACCTGACCTAACCAACCAAAGAAACCTACCTAACCTTACCTAAAATCCTAACCGGGAGGCGGACCCCCGTCCCATTAAACAGAAAGTACAGTACTCAGCCAATCAGAACGCACTCATGTTTAAATAGTGTTTGAAGATACTTAGCTGTTCACGGCAAAATATCTACTGTGTATGATAAATGGTATTATCATCATTTCAGTCATCCAGCAAATTACAGGATTTTAAGTTTTGGAATCAGTAGTTTAGACAATTCTAAGACACTTTTCTTCTTTAGCACTTCTGCTCATGATTACTTTCCAAGAAAATCGCAATAAATTGTTGGAAAATCATCATACAGAATTTTGTCTAAGTTCTTACAGTATTTTTATTACCACCGTCCCAGGGAGCTCCTGTGTGTTCATTTGTTGGTTACTATGCTGCATTAATCATGTGCTAGAGTCTGGCGCATACACAGTTGTTCTTTGGACGTTGATTGGTGAGTATGATTTTGGATCATCCAATCACAGCTTGGTATGTCACTGCTGCCACCTGCTTGAATTTGAATTTATTTCCAAGATGTCTCCTTTGTTTAATGTTTGTGATTTCAATTACTTCCAAAGCATCACCAGATCTCACATCAATTATTGCGGTAAAGACGGAGAGGCGCGGAATTTCTACATGAACATGGTGTTCTACCCATGAACATGGTGTTCTACCCATGGAAGTTACTTGTGTAACAAGCCTTGTAGTTACCAAGCTGATAAACACCTTTGGTACTGTGGGAGAATAACTGTTACTCCCAAGTCTAGCAAGAGGAAGAAGTGCAATTATACAGTGTCTTGCTACAAAGGAAAATTTCTCTACAGTGCACATCTGGAGCCGTGGAAACTGATCTATTTGTCAATCATTGGCTCCATAAGGTCTGGGACCCCAACTCTGAGTCTTCTGAGTCTAATTAACGTAAGGACACAGGTGGAAAGGTTAGGTTAGGTTAGGATGGGTTGGGTCGGCTTAGGTTTTGGATAATTCTGATCTCATTTCTATCGCAAATTACTACTTTTTGTGATTTTCCCTGACACAAAACTCCTGGTTCCCCCTATTATCATCGGATAAGGGAGAGGTTAGCTCAAAATACTTCGTTTGGTAGATAAGAAAGCAGTAATTTGAGGTAGAAATGAAGGTCAGATTCGTTCAAAAACATCAAAATATATCAGAAAAACATAATTTCAGCCTCCAAATAGCTCGATGACCAAACGGTAAATTTAACCTGATAAATTATAGAATGTAGCAGTAACTGAAAAAAAAAACTATGACACGAACCAAAACTTGATCACATAAAGGATATATATCTCAAGTTGGTGCCATAGCCAGACCACTCTCGTCAAGTATTACCTTCGTTTTAAACTGTTAAACACATCAATATAAAAAACTTATTAAAAAGTTCTGCAAACTAATAAGAAACTTATTAAAGTACTGTTGTAAGCAGTAATATTTTAAAGGAGTCATTTGCTGTAAAGTTTTCTATTTTTCAGAAATTACACATGATAATTATTTTTATTGCCCGAAATTTAATGTAATTCGAACTTACAATGAACTATATTAAATTTACCGGCATTGTGATGAGGGTTTATGAGTAATAGAACCTCCGCCCTGTATGATGTGTCCGCCTCCCCTATCACTGTTTACATCCGCTTTACTTTGGTACAAAATCTTTTGATATTTTCATTCTTATCTAACACAAATCTTTATATTTACGTTTAAGGAATACATTAATAATTGTATTCACGTTAAAAGTATTTACTTTTTATATTCAGTGAAGAAGTTAAACGTAAAGTTAATGATACATCCTGATTGACGAATATATTTTGTACTAGTTGGCTCTATCATTTAGTATTTTTAATTGATTTATTGGGATTTCATTTTATGTACAATAAACTAACATATGACTGCAAGGAATATACCATAAAGTACATCTAATAAAGCTTCAAGGATAACGTTTATTATTAAAAGGCTTCCTGCAGTCCTCAAAATAAAAATCGAGGAATATGACAAAAGATGGAGAGAAAAATTTACCAAAATGAATAAATAATTCTTAATTATACAGTTGATTATAATTTTTGGGAAATACATGGAACATGTAGAAATCGTAGCAATTTTTCCAGTTTCTTTTTCAGTAAACCCATTGCTCCTATTTATATACAGTGAAGTCAAAATTTAGTTATAGATTTCCGGCTAGACCTTTTATTCAGATTCGGGAACCACCTTTCAAACATGGCAGGTACTGTAGTGGATTCCTCCCCTATAAACGCTTGTCGCTGAGTAGCCGACCCCGCGAATTCCCCAGTGTATGCCTCGTGGTCTAGGTCAACCAGCGCCGCCTTATATAACGGAGGTCAACTATTAAGCCACGCCTACCTCCGTTATATAAGACCTGACCTCGTGGTGACCTATCTCTCTCTTTCTACCTACAGTCAGTCTTCAGGTAACACCACCTCCACCACTCCTGCCTGGCGGCCCTCGCTCCCGTCGGCGAGCATGGCGACCCACAAGCTGGTCCTCCTCTGAGCACCCTCACCAACCTCTGCCTTCTTCTGTGTTTCCATGCTCTTACAATCTGTCTCACTTTAAAACGCTGGTTTTCCGGCATCTTCGTGGTGTAGATTAATACAGTATAACCTTTTTTTCCGTTCTTTTTTTTTTCGCCCCCCAGGCTCCGTTGTGGGTCGTTTGACCTGTGCCCAGGTGGGCTAATTCCCGTAAAAAAAAAAAAAACAGCTCTTACAACTCAACGCTTGTAACCATGCTGCCTTCCCAACACCAAGCTGCACTGTACGTTCAATACAATATGTATACAGAGAGTGTGGGGTACAAGAAGTTTGGTTCACACTCAGGATGGGATGGAGAAAGGAAACTCACAATGTGCTCTCTGTATACATATTGTATTGGATGGACAGTGCAGCTTGGTGCTGGGAAGGCAGCATGGTTACAAGCGTGATGTAGAGAGAGCTGGTTGGTGAGGGTGCTCAGAGGAGGACCAGCCTGTGGGTCGCCATGCTCGCCGGCGGGAGCGAGGGCCGCCAGGCAGCGGCGGAGGAGGAGGAGGTGTTGCTGGCTGGTTGGTGTAGGTAGAAAAGAGAGTGGTCACCACGAGGTCAGGTCTTATATAGCGGAGGTTGGCGTGGCTTAATAGTTGACCTCCGCTATGTAAGGCGGCGCTGGTTGACCTAGACCACGAGGCATACACTGGGGAATTCGCGAGGTCGGCTACTCAGCGACAAACAGCGTTTGTAGGCGGAGAAATCCACTACAAGAGCACATTGTGAGTTTCCTTTCTCCAGTGCGAACCAACAACTCATACCCCACAGTACTACCGTCCAAGATATTGGAATTTGGAAGCATGATGTGTTGTTTATTGGTAGACCTTCCTGCCATATGGCATCAAAATTTTTTACCAAGTCTCCGGTTTCTGATCTCACTAACTTTCTGAATCATTTACACACAATTGCAGTGTTCAGTTGTTTCTCTTACTTGGACAACACAACATATATATCGTTTTTCACTCTTGATCTGTTTTTTTTCTGTACTTATTTATGGTTCAACTTTTTTTCCAGGCTCCGTTGAGGGTTGGTGACGTGTGCCCGGGTGGGTTAATCGCCGCAAAAAAAAATCCAGCTTTAGCCAAAATATTTTTCAAATGGGATTGGGGGGGGGCGCCAGCAATAAGCCCACTTCTATCTGGGTTAGCTTGTGAATATTGTCAGTGTTATTATTAGCTACAGGGGCGGATCCAGGCAAGGACAATCCTTGGGATCCAGGAATATCCAAAGGGGGTCCAAGAAGTTTTGGGTGGGGGAACATGGAGAGCAAAGCGAGTGGGTCCTTGGGTCTGGGCCCCTCCCCCCTACCGCCAACCTTTTCACCAGAAGTTTCCAATACTTTTGATTTAATGCAGTATTGTACTCGGGCATTTTTTATAATAAAAAGTAATTACTATTGACCCCAGAATATCTCTACTATCACGTGCACATAGTTTCAAAATGGTCTCAAAATGCTCCTGATATTGGTCAGATTTAAAATAAAAATCGAAGGGGGGGGGAGATTACAGCGCCCCCAACCCCTCCGGGCTGGGAGAGTTCGCTTTGCTCGCCATTTACCCCCACACCCTTCTTGGACCCCCCCTTTTGATATTCTTGGATCCGTCCCTGCTTAGTTGGCAGCTACTTATTTTAAAATTTTTTTTTTATATGGCGTCTTTAGGTTTTTTTTGGGGGGGGGGGGGTGAATCTAGCTAGTCTACTGACCATGAGTTGGCAACCCTGCGTGAGGGTGTGTGGCGGCAAAGTTGGTGGACTGATGAGAGGTAAAGTTGTGTTGGTCTATAACAGTTGGTAATTGGTGGACTATTTTTTCATATATATCAACGGTTGTGCGACTTTTTGCCCTTAGGTATTTGGTGTTCCAAATATTGGTGTCTTACTTAACTTATAATTGAGGAGCTTGACATACATGGTTCACTGCTTTATAAAGTTTACCTCTTCGTAACCAACCGTAACTATGCCAACCTCAAAATCAGTACGTACTGATTCTAATCAAATTATATTTCAACAAGTTTTTTCACGATTCTCTTTGATTCTACAGTAATGAAAATGGGATAACATAATTAAAAAATTAATATGTATACGTTCGTCCATCTACAATACTGTAATTCGGCTGGCCACAGGTTCTCATATATGTATTTTGAGCTGACGTATAAGTTGTATATACAGAATGTGAATACAGTACTAATAAATATTAAAATTATGACTGGCTGGATTTTGATATGAGAATGGATTTTTCTGGTGTATTTGGGTGTGCTTCATGTAAACCTGGATCTTCATTGCTTGTGCATTTTTTTTTAAGTAGGCAGTGGATATTTTGCCGTGACTGACAAAGTTCTTAAGGCTATTTTACCGTGAAAGCGCTCTGATTGGCTAATCGTCCATTACCGGCAAACAATGCGAGAACTATATTTAACCGTGACTGGTGGCTTTTAGCATGTATTTCACCATGAGTCAATCGTTGTGTAGCTGTAAACATACCTAACCATATTTCTGTTGTGCATGGAAACTTATCATTATAAAAGGCAACATTTAGAAGAACCTAATAGAACCGGATCTAACCAACCAAAGAAACCTACCTAACCTTAACTAACTTCCAAGCTGGGGGCGGACCCCCGTCCTATTAAACAGAAAGTACAGCACTTAGCCAATCAGAATGCACTCACTGTAAAATAGTGTTGGCAGAAACTTAGCCGTTCACAGCCAAATATCCACTACAAAAAAAATAATGTAATCCTGTAGATGGCTAACACCAGAAGGCATTGTTCAATTTCGTTTATTTCTCCACAGATGTTCTTATCATTATAGTAAGTACAGTACAAGGTATTTTAAAAAGTGGTGACATTTAATAGTACCTGACCTATCCAACCAAAGAAACCTACCAAATCTTACTTAAGTTTCTAGCCCCAGGGGGACCCATCTATATTAAAAAGAAACTACTTACTGTACAGTATTTTGATATCTGGTACCAATGAAAGTAACTTTGTTGGAGTGTCATGGTGTAATTTTATGTTTTTTGTCGACATGAGAGTACGCTCGGACCGGGCAGGTCAGTTGTTAATAAACTGAGCAGGCAACAATACTCGTTGACTCCGCAGCATTTATTGAGGAGTATTTACGGTAATTAATTAATTTCTTCACGTACAAAGCATGTAGAGACGTCATTTTAATGTCATGATCAGGTTTCCCCATGCTTTACCCTGCAATTTCCCTCTATCGTAGATAGAGAAATTTTAAATGAAATTAAAAATAATACATATAGTATAATAGAAATAAAAAGTTGTGGGGTCTTTTAAAATATTTCTTATATAATGTTAAGAACATCTGTGGAAAAAGTGAATGAAATCGAACAACTCCTTCTGGTGTTAGCCGTCTCCTTCAGTATTATAAAAAATAAGGCAAATTTTTACTTAAGCACTGGTCATTGTTTGGATATTAAAAATGTTTTTTCAATGTTATTCGGTGAGTTTCGAACGAATTTGATATTCATTTCAGCCGGAAATCACTAGTTCACCCCCACCCTCCTCAACAATAATGGGGGGAGAGCCTGAGAAATCGGGGTTTTAAGTGGGGGAGAAAATGAAAACTAATCGTCTAACCCAGTGGTTCTCAACCTGGGGGCCTTGGCCCCCAAGGGAACCACGGCGAGCTGTTATAAATAGTACGTTTCCAAATAATGTTGGGAATCTGAATTAAACAAAACTTGTATTACTTATTTTGACTTGGCAGAAGAGAATTTTCATTATTTTTTGTCATTTTGTTTAATCATAACGACAAGGGGGGGAATGGAGTGAAAAAGGTTGAGAACCACTGGTCTAACCTAACCTAACCTAATCTAACCTAACAAAACCTAACCCCTAAGCCCCTGGACCCCCGTTAGGCCTAGCTTAAACTAACCTAAATGTATTGTACTGTAGTTAAAAACTTTTGGGGGCGCCATGTCCGAAAGTACAATACTTTAGTTAGAAGTGGAAGGACCAGGGATACGTAAGAATTGGACAGAATGATCATCTTTCCCGTAAAACTCTGCAGTAAACTTAAAATAATCGTAGGAGCACAAATGACAACCAACCTCCACCACGGCCATTGTGAGACTGGTCAATGAAATTACCCAGGCTGCTTCCTTTGAAAAAATAAAATGTGAATGGTTGAAA